CTCCCTCCTTCTCCGAGTAATGCGGGTGACAAGGGCAGAGTACTGGCTTCTAACGCTCGCGGCACCGCTCGCCAGGGGGAGGGGTTGGCCCGCCCTGCCCCGCCCCGCAGCGACACTGCTGGTGCCAGCACGGCGTCGTCCACCCTCTCCGCTCCGCACTTCTTCCTGCTTCCCCTTGGTCGCCCCGCTGCCGCCCTGCCACCCTGTCGCGCGCTAAGCCCTCCCCTCTCCTCCTCTAGGTTCTCCAATGTCGAATGGCTGGACCAGAGTACGCTCTCTGTAGGACTGCGCCGCTTGCTGCGGGCTACAGGCACACTGGAGGCGCGACGGAGGTTTGGGGGGCACGATAGAGGCGGCTGGGTCAGAGGGGTAGGGCTCGGGAGGAGGAGGGGGCTTGGGGACCAGGACGCTAAAACAATAGAGCGAGGCGGGCGCCGGGCGGAACGGAAAGGGAAAAGAAGCATCGCTCGTCTCGTCGACTTCTCTCAAACAATTCCACCCGGTGGCGCGAGGGACTATGGTGGTGAGTTCCGCCTCCAGCTCAGCCTCCAGCGCACCATCTAAGCTCGGCCTCCAAGCTCGGCCTCCAAGCTCAGCCTCCAAGCTCGGCCTTCAAGCTCACCCTCCAAGCTCGGCCTCCAAGCTCGGCCTCCAAGCTCGGCCTCCAAGCCCGGCCTCCAAGCTCAGCCTCCACGCTCACCCTCCAAGCTCAGCCTCCAAGCTCAGCCTCCAAGTTCGGCCGCCGCTGGCCCAGACCCACATTCATATTGGTCATGGCGAGAATAACCATCCCCTCGTAGCGTATTGTGGTTTAACGCGGCGCTGCGCACCAATTCTTTCTTATCATGCTGAGCCGCAATAACGATGATGCCATCAGCTGGAAAATCAAAGCGAAGCCCCCCGATCAAAGCGGCACCAGAGCCCAGGCCCCAGTCGCCCTCCCCCTTGTCCTGCCCTCCCTCTACCGCGACTTGCACACAGAGACTCGCATTTAGGGCGACTCTCTGGATTAAAACAGATTACTGGAAAGGTCTTCCCTTTGCAACGCAGCCAGCCGGACTGCTACCCCCGCCCGCCCCTCTCCTGTTTGGGATTTATTGAACCCCTCGGAGACCAGCGGGGCTGGCAGGACCGTGCCTTGCTCGCTCTTGCGCCCCCTAGGGAAGGGTGGCGGGGCGGGAGGGAGGGAGGAAGAGAGAGAGTGAATGATTGGAGGACCTCAGGGCACCGCGGGGATCTCGGGCCGAGCCTGTGTTTGAGGCCCAGTAGAGCAGGCATAATAGAGCGGTGAGCATGAGCAGTCGACTCCACTGGGACCTCACCCGACGCGGTGGGGGCGGGCGGTGGCGGGGCGGGTCAGGCGGAGCGGGTGAGGCAGGGCGGGGCGGTCCAGGCGTGGCGCTGGCTTCCGTCGGCCCCAGGACTGGACAATGCAGAAATGGAACCCTTTTTCCCTCGACAACAAAGTTCACTGCCGCTGGCTTTTCATCCGGCCGCGTCGTGTTCACTGCAAGAGATTTGTGGGCCTCGCCCGAGGCCGGCCGGGGGTGCGAGACAAAGGAGGGGTCGTCACTGTGGTGCACTGGTGCACGGCGACACGGCGGGCGAGCCGCATACTCACTGCGTGCTTTGGCGCCGCGCTCGCTGCGGATCAGCACCTCGCCGTCGTCCTCCTCCCAGACCTCGCCGTCGGCGGCCGCCAGGGCGAGGAACAGCAGCGCGACCACCGCCACCACGGACAGGCCCCACTTCATCCTGTGAACAGAGAGAACAAAGGAGGGCGTAAGTCACACGCAAAAGGACCGCGGAGCGGTATAGGAGAAAGAGAAGGCGGTGCTCCACAGCCTCATCAGCCTCGAGAAGTCGGGCCGTACAGGGGCGGAGCTGACGCGGCTGTCTGTCAAACTTCCTTGAAACGCCGAAAGCGCCGCCAAAAACTACTCGGCGAGTTTGGGCCGACCCCACCCCTGGCCCCGGCGCCGCCGCACCAGCACCGCACCGCACATTCCCGCCAAAGTTTCTTGCTGGGAGGCCGTGCTGCGCCCGCGGGGCGGAGCGAGAGGCAGTGGCGACGTGGCGTGCCGGGGCAGTAAAACGGCAAGGGCGCTCGGGGGGTGCGGACCCTGCTGCGCGCTGCAACCAACAAGCGAACGGGGCTCGGGGTTGTTATACGAATAAGCGCACCGCACCCCGCATTTTATGGAAGGCGCGCGTTATTCTAGCTCGGTGGCCGCCGGGCTCGCCGGGTCGCCCCCCGCCGCACCGTCACCCACCCCCGCCCAAGGTGAGCAGGCCTTTGCCACGCCACACCCTATGCGGTCGTCCGTAAGGGGGGGGAGGGAGAGAGAGAGTGAGAGAAGACTTCATTACTCGCTGACCATTTGCGGCGCCTGCGTGGCCTGTGTGCGAATGTCGCCGGCCCCTGGTCACGTCGTGGTCACGCCGCTACGGCCCGCGTGCCTGCTTCGCACACAGTATATAATTTGATCGCAGGCGGGCGTGGGCCGCCCAGGAGCAAGGCAGGGCGCCGGCACTATCGGCCGGGGGGAGGGGGGGCTGTACCGCCACCCCCTAAGCTCAGGACCTTCTTCAACGCCAGGCCTTCCCTTCGCCACTTTTTACTTTACGGCGAGCGAGGGAATATCGAATTAATTCCACGAGTCATCTCATCTCATGTTTCATCGGTTCTGCCCGCCCCTCCTATCCGCACCCGCCCGGGCCCCTCCCTTCGGACCCGCGCGCCGGCGCCTGACAAGTTGCAAACGGCCTCAAGTTTGGCAGTCCGCCGCCTCACCCCACCTCGCCCCACTCCGGCCGGCGCTCGGCTCAGCGGCACGGGAGTGTTTTGTGTTTACACTGGACATTCCCTGGGCAGGGTCGGCTAGGAGGGCCTGCAGGCGTCCGCCCGGGTGATGGATAAGGCGTGCACTGGCCCAGCCGCAGGGCACCGCAGGCCAGGGCGGCCAGGGCACCGGACTACCAAGTTGGGACTGCCCCTGTCGACCCCCCCCCCCCCCCCCCCCCCCCAAAAAAAAAAAAAACACCCCCCCCCCCCCCCCAGCACAGCAGCAATGGCAAACAGCCCGAGCTCCTCGCCAGCCTCCCCTTCCCGCCGCCGCGCCTGGGAAGGCTGTCCATCTGCCGTCCATCAAACAGCGCGCTGCTGGTTGCGGCTAAAGCACACCCCGTCCTCCCGCGCCTGCCCCACCCGTCGTCGGGGGCTGCCACCAGCATGGCAAACAGCCGTCGAGCGCCCCCTGCCCGCCCCTCCGCGCCCGGAAAGCTGTCCATTAGCAGCGCGCCACACGGAGCCGGTGGGGCGCCTCCTCAAGCACAACACCGCCGCCCTGGCCGCCCTGGCCGCCCTGGCGAGGGGCGGCGGGGTTCATCCGGGTTCATCCATCCCCGCGGCTGCTGCCGAGGCCGACCTCCTCGGCACGGCGCAGCAGCCCGGCGGGCTCCGTGCTTGCAGGAGCGGAGTGTATTCACTACCGGGATCAAGTTTCGCCGTCGCGCACGTCTGGAGCACGAGGATGGGATGGGAGAGGGTCCGCGTCGAGCACGGTGCCGGGCTGGGAGCGGTGCGGGGGGGACGCAAGTTGTGTGGCGGCGGTGCCCCGAGGACAGGACGACGCCCTCCTCGCTGTGGGCGACTGGAGTGTCGGTGCGGGGGGGTCACCCCCAGGGCACCCTTACGGCCCCTCCCCTTCACCCCTCGTGCGTCCCCGGGACGTGTCGAGACGGAAGGAAAGGATCGCTCCGACGCTCTGGTTAACCGTCCTGGTGCTGCATGGAAGGGCGGGGCGCCGCCGGGGCGGGCAGCTTCGGCAGCCGGACCACATCCATTCTTGCCCCGGGCCGGGGCGGTGAGAGAGGGCCAGAGATGGGGCGAGAGGCGGGGGCGAGGCGAGGCGGTCGAGCGAAACCACAGCCTCGCAATTAACACGTCGAGAGGCGGAGTGCGGAGCGGCGGCTGGCCGAGTCGGGGCCGACCCGGAGGGTTGCGTGGCGCGGGCTCGGGGTTCGCCCTCGCCGCCCCCGTCCTTCTCTCTCTCCCTCTTTGCCACGAAACAGACGACTGCCCATTCCTCCGCGTCAGCGCCGCATTGAGTGCGGCATGGCCTGCCCGAGCATGGGCCGGGCCCGCCGACCGCCCGCACAAGAAACAAGTAAAGGGAGAGAGGGAAAAAAAATCACGCCGACTGGTTCTCTAGACACGAAAGATATAAATTCCGGCCCGTAAACCAAAGCAAACCAGGGAGTAGTGCGCGGAAAAGAAAAAAAAATGAGGGAAATGAGAAGAGCCGTCCCCTCCGGGGCGTGCGCATTCGCTCGGCCAACGGAGCTAGAAATACACCGAGATTGATAGAAATTCGAGGGTGAAATACGAGGATAGATTAGGGGACTAGGGCGGCGGAATGAAGCGATAAGGCCTTATGGCCGCAGGGACGGACAGGTGTTGGCGAGCACTCGGCGGCCGTGCGGCCAGCAGCGGCGACCGAGAACGCGATCGGGCTATTACCCGTCCAGCGACCCCCCCTGGCGGGCGCCTGGCCCGAGCACGCACCCGCCTCGAGTTGCTACTGCTGCTGGGTGTAAAAGAACAAGTTTTAGTGCCGCCCCCGCTAAGCAGAAGCAGCAGCGAGGGGCAAGAGGCGGGCTCCGAGGAGCAGGGGGTGGTGGAGGAGGTCCGTTATTGTGGCCAAGGGGCAGAGAGCAGAAGCGCCGGTCCTCGGGCGACATTTAAATAGCGGCGTGGCAGCGGTTTGTATGGGTTTGTGGACGGGGAGGGGGAGGATCAGCAGCAGCACCAGGGCGGTGAGGTGGG